TGGATTGTGTATGCAATTATTTGCTGCATCTGAGGAATTTTTGAGTGTCCCCTCTCATGCTACCCAGTAGTCTATTCCCCTTCCACCTCATGTTATTAATTGCTACACCTGGGTTTCAAGGGCAAACTGCATTTCATGTATATTATTAGAGGGAGATCATCCATACTTTCTCACTTTAGAGATACCAGTGTGTATGAGCAGGTCCACATGAGAAAAAACAGAATAACAGCTAGCTAGGAGGCCAATCTGCTAGTTGCAATTGCTTCATGTTCAGGAAGTGGTATTTCTTCTCTGTGCGCTTTAGGTTCCAGGCCAATCTGAGATGTCAGTGACATGCTGTGGGGCTCTGTGCCAGATGTGCTCTTGGAAAATCTGTGTCTGTCTTGGTGAGGAAGTGCTTGCAGAAAACGACTTCTAGCAGGCTGGCAAAATCCCTCATCTTGTGCAAACCACTTTCATGTTGAACTTCAGAGTTTAATCTGAATGTTTCAACCTCTTTCTAACTATGTAGGTGCCAGCTCCTGCTGCTTTATTAAGCCTGCCAGTTTCCAGTTGTTTCCTTTAAAAACAAACAAATAAACAAATAAAAAAAAAAATAATTATATACTGCTGTAGACATGTCTTGTTCCTGGACCATTTTTGCCACTTGCTCATGTCCAGAAGCAAGGCAAAGCAAGAAAGGGTGGAAGCCATATCAACTCTAACTCTTTTTCTCTCAGTTTCCCTAAGCAAAGATATATTTTAATCTACTCACTTTGAAGTAGTCTCAAACATGTCAAAATTTGAAGGGAGTAAGTGAAGTTCAGTTTTTAAAAATTTAAATCTTATGATACCAAAGATTTATGGCAATTTACTACAGTGAGGGATGTGGCCAAGGCGGGGTAGGAGAGCTACCACAGTATGCTCATTAGTTGTCTTTTCCCTTTTGAAACCTATCCCTGCTTTCTCCAGCACATAGTTTTGCAATTACTTTTCTGTGTGTGTACGTGTGTGGTTCTGTGTTTTGGACACAGATTTAGCTGCTGCAAAGAGCAGCCAGTTGCTGTGGCTGTGCAAACATGATGGTTGCTAGGTGGGGTCTCCAGCACGGCATTATAAAAGCATTGCGAGCCTTCTGCTCTCTGACGCCTGACTGCTGCCCTGAAAGGTAGTATTTGTGAGGAAGAAGGTAGGTTTTTGTAGGTTTTTTTCTGCTTTCTGTAGATTAAACAAACTTTAAGGGTTGCATGCTAAATTTGTCAAGTGACCTGGTGCAATTTTCTGTGGGTTGTATTTTCTGGCATGGGAAAGTTGGGTGTGGGCAGGAGAAATTGTTTCAGTTTTGAAATGTTTTGTGTACATGGAAGGGCTTGGACAATTACTGGTTTACTTAACACATGTAAGGAATTGGAAAAAAATGCATAATAGTTTAAAAGCAAACTTATTTGGAGTTGACTATTTCCTATGCTTTCTCTTTGCATTTGTATGCTGTTGTAGAAATCTGCAGTAGAACTGGAGTTGCTGGAAAACTAATGTGCTTTGTATGAAAACTTTAAAAAGCAGCAGCTGTTATTACTTCAAAAACAGTTTGCTGCTTTGAGACTGTGGAGAGGTCTTTACTTACGAAGGTGATGAAAATTAGGCAAAGTAATCTGTTAGAAATGTAGGAGAAAAACCCTGAATTTATGACTAAGAAATTAGGCAAAGCTGCGTAAGTGTGCTGTGTGTCATCTGGGGTTTGTACTGCAAAAACTTTCCACTGAATTTTCCAAGGAGGATAGTAGGGTAAAGCCAGCAGATTTTCACACTGTAAAATAAAATTTGGTGTTAAATCTTATAGGGAGTAATGACTTTAATTTATGTCAAAATCCTGGAAACTAGCTTTGGACAATAACCATCTAATATGGGTCCGGGTATGGTTAAATGGAGAAATGGTGCTGGATGAAATGGACTGTAGTGTAAAAGTGCAGTTTGTGTCTTTTGAATATCTTCAATACATTGGGTATATTTTATAAAAAGTTTTAAAAATTTACATCTGTCCAGTTCAAGGGTGGTTCTTATGGTGACTGGGAGCTAGATGGAAAGCAACATTGCAGTAATTCTCTTGAAGCGACACTTAGGGTTTTCAAGCTGAATCTTTGTCTTTTCATTCCAGTTACAATTTTGCTTATTCCAACTGGGAGCGGTAAAATTTGTTAAAATAATAAGATTTTTCAAACTGAGAAATCTTAAGTTCTTCATCCACCTTCATTTCACATGGAATCTTTAACACACTCCCGTTTGGAGAGTGGGACACATCACCTGGGCAATATGTTATTAATCAAAACAAATCCCAAATAAGTATTTGATACGGAGAAGCCAGAAAGAAGTGTCACACTTTTCTATGGTGCCTTCTGTAGATAAATTATTTTTTTTTTTTTGCATCTCCCTGTTCATAGACTTTGTTGTGAGCTCAAAAGTAAATAAAAATATATGGTGGACAGCATAATTTCTTCCAATCCTTTTAAGACTGAAATAGGATGTTATTTTGAATGAGGTTCCATTTAGATATGAGGAAAAACTTACTTACAGTGAGAGTGACAGAGCACTGGAACAGGCTGCCCAGGGAGGTTGTGGAGTCTCCATCTCTGGAGATATTCAGAACATGCCTAGATGCTTTCCTTTGTAAACTGCTCTAGGTTATCCTACTTCAGTGGGAGAGTTGGACTAGATGATCCCTAGAGATCACTTCCAACTCTAGCAATTCTGTGATTCTGTGATTTTATCCCTCCTGGATCTAGGTATTGTTTACACATGCTGTTTCCTTGTTAGATTGGCGTGAATCAAATTCAGTAAGACCTCTACGCTGTCAAGGCTAATCTGTCTGTCTTCCTAGATTTAAGTCTTCTTTTTCTTTTCTTACTAGCCATAGGTTCTTATAAAGCAGGTGAACAGTTTTATATGTAAGGTGGTTTCTTAATTTTCTGAGCCAGTTCACGACCAGAATCTAAAGGTCTTTAGCCCCCCTTGAGAACCATTGCCCGCTTATTTTAAAATTACATAATTTGCTTGCTAGATGGGAATAGATGGATCTGAATTCCAAAGTGTCTTTATTTTAAAAGGAGGGGAAAAAAGACACAGAATTATTTTATTGTATCTCTAATTTATATTAGAATAGACATAAAATCTTAGAGGCTTAATAAACCAAATTTAGTAGAGGCTACCAGCCTTCTGCTCTAGTCATCCGTAAGAGCAGCAAAACCTCTAGAGCTGGGTGTGAGGGGTGAGGATGGGAACAGACAAAAGAAAAGTACATGTTAGCACTTCTCCCTGGACCCGGCTCTACCAGCTTCTTCCTGATCAGCGCTACTCTTATCAACAGAAATGCAGTTTTGGTCCCACCTCTTCTCAGATCTGGTGTTGTGAGGCTGAATGTTGTTTCTTAAACAATTATACATTCTCTGAGTTTATTAGCCAACAAACATAGTTGTACGTCACTGTTGGTGACTCACTGCACCTAGTATGGAGACCTCAAAATATTTTCATCGTGCTGCATATGGCTTTTATGTGTGCTTTTATAAAATGCAGCAGAACTTTAGATAATACAGCACTTCATCTGGCCTCATACACTTGTCTGTCAGTACATAAAGGGTACAGGAGTCACTATAACAGCTTGATAAAATACTGTTTTTAACAGCAACATAAGTATGCTTTTCAGATCCCCAGTAAATGACACATGCATCGAAGTGGATCTGTACAATTTAAACCGCATTCTGACCAGTATTAACCCAGATGAGACCTACTCTTACATGTCAATACAGATTCAGAGTTGTTTCAGTTTTTTTAGCAGCACCGTCAGAGCTGAATTTTGTGCCCTCAGCGCTGAGCGAAGGGCGCAAAAGCAAGAGTTTTCCAAGGAAGAGGAGTGTAGGTTGCTCTTGCCTTAGGAGGGTTGGGAAGGGTGGAGCTGGGCTGGAGGGTGAGAGGAGGGCTGTGGGAGATAGCTCTGACTTTATTGGCAGCTTAATGTGGAAGTAAGTTTTACAGTTTTGCTGTGAGGAACAGGAAAGAAGCAGCCGAGCTGTAGCCACACTGCTTCATCTTAGGTGCATGTTGCTCTAAGTGATTGCTCTCTGCCCTTCCTATGGGACCCAGGGTGTAACTAAGGCAAGTGTGTTTGCAGCATAAGCAGCATCACTTTTTGTACTTGTGTGTATGATCTACATTATATGCTCTTCATTCCCTCACTGTTTCTATTAGCAAACAGAATATTCCTCACACCAGAGTTCTTATGAAGCAACCTATGGTCTTTTTTTTCCACTTTTGCATGTTATCTGCTGGACTGATTTTCTTTTGGAGGTTCAAAAAGCAAAAATATTTTTGTGGGGTTTTTTTTGCTTCCTAAATGGGTATTTCTCTATACTTAAGCAGAAATTGAAAGAAATACATAACAAATAAGGAACAGTGTAGGTGAAACTGTCTGATTTTACACATCTTCCTTAGGAAGGAGCTAGTCAAATAAATTGCATGAGAATATATGTTTAACAATGGAACATCTTAACATAAGACACAAGAGGTCCAACCTCAGTAAATGGTCAGACAAAAATACTTGCTTACCACAGAATCAAATATTTGTTGAGCTAAACAGACATAGCTGATATCTTAAATAATGGGGAAAGAAAGACTTCCATTTCCTTCTACTAACTTCCCTTTGTAAGTCAATGCCAATGCTTGCATACTGCCACAGTAAATGAGAAAATAGGCCAACTAGGTTACTGTTCTGTTTCTAATCTGAAACTTTTGCAAGTAGCTCAGGGTGTCGGGGTGAGCAAGCAGTTGTGGAGCATTGCATTACCTGTCAAACATAAAAGTTATCTTGCTTCTAACAGCAGAAGCCAATTACTACTTGGGAAACTAATCCCTCTGTATCGTAGTTCAAAATAAAGGACTTTGAGAGAAGGAAACCTTGAGTTGCACTGGTGGTGAAAATAATGTAAAATTGTTTGTAACTTAATGCATCTCTTTACAGAAACTTGGTCAATATGGCTATGGTATCAGAATTTCTGAAACAGGCATGGTTCATGGAAAATCAGGAGCAGGAA